GCTAATGCCGGTAATTCTCTTAACTTTCAAGTAAGTATCCTATAACTCGAAAAATACTGAATAAAAAAATATTTTATTATAGTGTTTTGGAAAGCTTTTGAAATAAGCTATACAAAACATGCAATACAAAATAGGAATCCTATTTAAAAAATTTAACTTAAACTTTATATGATCTTGCAGACTCCACCCAGATCAATCTCTTATCACCAGATACATTTTCTTAAGTCTTATAACTTTACTTTTTACATATTTTTTGTTAAAGATGATCGTTTCCGAAATATTTTAGCGTTTCCGGACTTTTTGGAGACCTTCTACAATATACAAGGATTGTCTGAAAAGTTTTAAGCCTCAACATGAAGATGGTATTACTCATCAAAACTATTCTGGTACTATAATCGTACACATGCTTTAAAAGATACCTGTGAAAATTATAGCCATTTTGGACGCTCAGTTATTGTTTGACAGCTATTTGTGTCAGTTGATGTCAGTGGTTTTGTAAAAATGGAAAAAATTGAATATGTTACGTCCTGGGGACTCCACGGTTCCCTTTTTCTTGTAATGCAACGCGTCAACGCATAATAAACTTTTTCTTAGTAAACAATGAAAAGCAATAAATAATTCGAACGGATCTCCTATCGTTTGGAAACTTAGACTCTAAACGATAGAAGAGCAAACGGAAATCATATCGGCGCCCGAAAAGATAAACCGCGTCTAGTAATAACTCGGAATTTTGCTATAACAAGCATGAAAAATTTATTGTTTAAACACTCGGAACAGCTTTCCAAACAAACCCGGATATCTCCGGGCCAAGAAGAACACCGCTTATAAAATTTAGAGCAGCCGGGGCAAATGGAACTCTGGCGCCATGAATAATCTACTAAAATTGTATTATAAACAAATAGCAAAGGGTCTATGTGGCGTGATCGAAAACTAAAACTCTTCCTTTTCCTTTCCCGAAAAATCGGACAAGCCGACCGAGGCAAGAAATCGTCGCCGATTGGCGATCTCACGAAGTTTACCCGACCACTAACTAACAAATAGGAACTGGCAAAGCTCAACTGAGTTTTCCGATTGGGAGAGTTTTCCTCGCTTACTCAAAATTGTATATAAGCTGGGACTATCAGAACCGGAATCATATAAGAGTTGCTGATCTTAAAAGTCGGGAGTGTTGTGGTGCAAAAAGTTTCAAAAGTGAAGTTTGGTGCAGTGAGTACCAAACCAGGACACCGAAGCACTGGTTTCCAACCTTCCACTCCCGAGTGCCTGTAGCCAACCTGACACCGCCGTTGCTTAACCAAGTAGTAAGTGCTTTTAAGAAACCAATTGATTACTGAGGTTTCACGAACTAGAAATAGAGATTGAGAAAAAGAGAGAAACCCGCTACTCTTCAGGGAGAAACGTACTCGTGAAATAAAAACGACAAAGTCTCGCATGAATCGAACACAGCAGCCGCAGTATTGAACTGTCAGAGATAGCCTCTCACCTCCTTCCTTAATTAGAGAAGATATCCGCGATCGTTCTGGTTAATTTCTGATAGACATCCGCGATCCTGAATTGCTCTGGATAGACTCTCACTTCTTTCCTTAATCAGAGAAGATGTTCGCGATCCTGAATCGTTGTGGATGACTTCTGATAGACATCCGCGGTTTTGAATCGCTCAGGATAATCTCCGATTCTCCATTTTAATTTTGTATTCTCAGCGTACAAGAAACTTGCCGTAAACAATTTGTTTTTTTTCTTTTTTTTCTTCTCCTCGCACTTTGAAGACTCAACTGCGGGTTACTCAAGCAAATAAGACTCTTGCAGCTTATCATTTAAATAATTGATTTAAGTAAAACCTCGCAAATACACTTTACGGGCGACAATAAAGGCTCGACGCAATCGGCGAAATCGAGTCTTGCGCCGAGCCGCCGCTCTCGCTTTGGGCAAAGCTGAGCCGGACAGGCCCAACCGCCCGACGCCTACCACTTCCGAAAAACGTTCCAACGTTGACCACGCGGATAACAATGACAACAACGATAATAATATAAAAAAACCCTTGCGATACGCACACAAATCCATCTCACGTGCACTCACAATCACCGATGCATTCGAAACACACACACACACACACACTGATACATACATTCCTCCAATGACACACACATAGAAGTACACACAGACACACATACACACGACGATTCGTGGTATGAAGCTCCTTCTTATTCACCTGTAAGCCCCGATCTTCCCGCAGACGCCAAATTCTCTCCTACTCCACCTGCAAACAATCAACCGTCTTCACCTTCTCGCTCCCCCTCTCCAACGCACCTTCTTATTCCGCAGAAAATCCCGCGGATGTGCAATCCGCGCCAACTCCTCCACCCCCTCCTTGTTTTCTTCTACTTTCCACATCCGCGCAAGAACCCGCGGATGACGAACCTTCCGACTCCCCTCGTGTACCGACCGCTCCACCGGACGACCCCTGGTTACAATACTGCCTAAAACTCATCTCCATCTACCGGATTGCAGATCCGAAGAAAATACTCTATGTTATCAACTCCTTCAAAATAAATCCTTCCGATTTCTTCCAAATAATCTCTACAACACTTCCCAGGAAACTGCTTCCGATCAAATTCCCGTACTTTAATGACATCCGCCTAATTTCTGTGCATCATTTCTACAACCTTTTTTCCCTAGTTCCGCCAAAATCCACGAAATCATAGGAATTGACCTAGAATGATTTCAATCGCTAGACCACGAATCGGCGCCACACACGTGCACCCGACACACTTACATTTGTAGAACCCCGCCGGAGGCCCTTCACACGCGCTCGCGACACGCATACACATATATATATATGTCTTTCCTCTCTCCCGCCTTCGAGCGATGACCCTTCGACCTATTGTAAAATTCGCGACATCATATCTAATCACACTACGACACACCACCGACAAAAATTTGTAACAAAAACCTTCATTAAATGAATAAAGTAATATTTTTGTGTTTTATAATTAATTCGTTTAATTAAGTCGACCTCTCATTCTCCACGTTCTGAATCGATCGCACGGTCTTGTCTTTAGTCAGTAGAGTTGAATCTCTAGACTTAAAAAGAAACCGACTAGCGGGGCCTCATCAGACAGAGTAAGATCGGCATATGCCGTTGACCTGTCTGTGAGAGCAGACAAACTCGCTCGACTCTGACCCAGCAGGATCATCTGCCTGTTACGCGGAGACAGAGAAACGACAGCTCTCTGTCACTCCATCATAGCCCGATCGTAACCATGGGCCAGGACGTAACAAATATCGTGCCGTGATTAAATTTTTACGCCTGCGCAAATTAAAGCCGAGTTGGACGCTGTTTACGGAGACTTTGCCCCATCATTGCTATCGTGAAAAGATGAGCAGCTGAATTTAAATGTGGTCGTATCAGCTTGGCTGATGATGAGTTTTCGGGACGGCTCAAAACAACTGCGACTACCACTGATACTATTTGAATGAGTTAAAGAGGTGGGAGCATTGCTGGAAAAAGTTTATCGACTTAAAAGGAGATTATGTTGAAAAATAAAACTAAGTTTGATCGAAAAAATACTTGGTTTTATGTTAGGCTCAAAACTTTTCAGACGACTTACATAAATGCTGTTTTTTGTCTTACAGAATCGTATACAGTGCCGGCTGACACAATTATGATTCTTAATATCTATGACGTCCATAGAGATCCTCAATTCTGGCCGAATCCAGACGTATTCGATCCGGATCGATTTTTGTCCGACCAAGCAAAAAAGCGTCATCCTTANTGCTATGTACCGTTCAGTGCAGGACNACGAAATTGTATAGGTAAATTGCGTACGTCGTCTTTTGGTTTGATAAGAAAACAATTTTTCTGATTTACTGCGCGTGTGGCAGGTCAACGGTTTGCTATGTACGAAATGAAAACTATGGTCGCTTCTCTAGTACACCACTTCTATTTGGAACCTGTTGATTACTTGAAGGATCTCCGGATTAAAATTGATTTGATATTTCGTCCTGCTCATCCGGTTCGTGTAAAATTTGTTCCAATTCAAAAATATCAGAATCATCAAGAGGATGGAGCAAAAGAGGAAATTAATAAACAACACTTGTGTNTTACAAAATAGAATTTATTGCAACCATCCATACAGCACTGAAAGATTGCAAAAATATTGCAT